TACAAGGAATAGCTCAAGGAATTCTCAACGTTAGAATACTCAAGGAATACTCAAGGAATACTTGGATACCTCAAGCGAATACACAAGGAATTGTGATCACCCATAGGAGATACATCAAGGATACATCACTAGGTGAATACTCCCCAAGGGATTACTCAAGGATTATACCTCCTCAATACTCATACTCAAGGGACTACACAAGCGATCATAACACATTGTCGAATACACCAAGAATACTCCTATAGTTGTCATACACAAAGGAATACACAAGGAATACTCACCATGGAATATCTTCAAGGTACATTAACTCAAGGCAATACACCAAGGAATATTACAAGGAATACTCAAGGACATACTCAATGGTCGCTCTATTACCTCTAAGCAATTCCTCAATGGACTCTCTCTTACAGTACTACATTCATCTCAAGGTTCTACTATCTGTCATAGGCAATACGAGCAAGGATCTGATATCCCTACTCGGTCTCTCTACTTACACATCCTAATACTCAAGGCTATACTCCTCGGAATACACAAGGAACCTACACACACCTCACACAAGGCACATTCCATCTCATAGTTGATCCACTACTACACCAGTACTCCATTACTCCAAGTCACTACTCAAAGGAATACTCAAGAATACACAAGGATTACACTCACGGCAATACACAAGGCACCATACTCAAAGAATACACAAGGATACTACACAAGGACTCCAAGCGAATCATCTCCAACGAATACCCTCCCCACAGAATACACACCAGCGAACTAGCACGGATTACTCCCCAAGGAGAGATACTCCACCCGAACTGCGCAATACTCAAGGAATACAAAGGAAGCCCACAGCACAGGGAAATACACAAGGAGAGTCTCGACAAAGTTGCAAAGAAGTCACATCAAAGCGAAATACAACAAGAATACTACAAGGCAGAACGACTACACGAAGAATCCACAAGGAATACCACAAGGAATCTCAAGGAATACTCAAGGAATACTCAAGGAATTGACACACGAGGAATACACAAGGAATACACAAGGGAATACTCAAGGAACTACAACAAGCGAATACACAAGGAAAGTTACACAAGGAATACCTCCAAGGAATACTCAAGGGAATACACAAGGGAATCAGCACAAGGAATACACAAAGGAACCTACACAAAGGAAATACTCAAGGAATACAAACAAGGAATTACACAAGGAATACACAAGGAACTGAGCTCAACGGCCATACTCAGACGGAAAAATACTCAAGGTAAGTACACAAAGTAATCACAAAGGAATACACAAGAATTACTAGCACAGAGGGAGACCTACACAAGGAATACACAAGAGATACACAAGGGAATACTCAAGGAAACACAAGAATTAACAAGGAATACACAAGAATTACACCAAGGGAATACTCCAAGGAATACTCAAGGAATACTCAGAGGAATACACAAGGAATACTCACAAGGAATACACAAGGAATACACAAGGAATTACTCAAGAATACACAAGGAATACAAGGAATACACAAGGAAATACACAAGGAATACTCAAGAATCTCAAGGAATACACAAGGAGGAATACTCACAAGGAATACTACACAAAGGATACTAAAGGAATACTCAAGGAATTACTCAAGAATACTCAAGGAATACCACCAAAGGAATACTCAAGGATACTCAAGGAATACACAAGGAATACACAGGAATACACAAGGAATACTCAAGGGAATACTCTCAAGAAGGAAATACTCAAGGAATATTCAAGGAAACTCAAGGAATACACCCAAGCGAATTACTACAACAAGGAATACACAAGGAATACAAGAATAGCAAGGAACCCCACAAGGAAAGTACATCAAGGAATCAAGGAATAACAAAGAATACACAAGGAATACAACAAGGAAATACACAAGGAATACACCCAAGGAATACACAAGGACATACTCAAGGAATACTTCACAGGAATACTCAAGGAATACACAAGGAATACACAAGGAATACACAAGGAATACACAAGGAATACACAAGGAATACACAAGGAGACTGGAATACACAAGGAATATCAACCAAGGAATACTCAAGGAATACACAAGGATACACAAGGATTACACAGGAATACACAAGGAACACAAGGAATACACAAGGAATACACAAGAATACTCAAGGATACATACTCAAGAAACCAGGAATACTCAATTGAATACTCAAATACATACACAAGGAATACACAAGGGAATACACAAGGAATTACACAAGGAATACTCAAGGAATACACAAGGAATACACAAGGAATACACAAGGAATACACAAGGAATACTCAAGGAATACTCCACAGGAATACTCACTACTTCCTCGGGTCTGACATGTGGCGCCAGACACCATGAGAGCCAACGCGATGGCGGTCACAGTCTGCCATCCCATCCTGGCGGTCTGGCCTGCCCTGCCCTGTCTGCCTGCTGCCTGCCTGTTTGTCTGCTTGCCTGCCTGTCTGCCTGGCTCTTCCTGTC